AAAAAAAGCAAGCGACAGCGATAAGGAGTAGATACTGATCTTCACATATCTTCAAATATCCACTAAGACCATAGGAATCCATTGGAATTCAGCAGGATCCAGTAGAATCCAGTAGAATCCACTAGGATCCACAGAATCCGCCAGAATCTACTAGGATCCATAGAATCCGCCAGAATCCGTGAGGAGCCGCGAGAATCCAAGGAGCCAGGAGCCGCTTTTTCCCCCTTGGTACCTATTTGGTCCTTTTAGACAATATTGATGTTGTTTTTCTGCATCATTTTGTTTTATGTAATGATAAAAAACAGCGCGGCACTTCGTTTGCATAATATTCACCGCTTCGTCTTCATCTAAATTCATTTCTACAAAAAAAGTACAATATTGTTTGGATTATATTCAGATTGATGTTAAAAACTAAATCTCCCCGTCTAGCTATAATGATAAACACCTTTTGATTGGTTGCTCGCTTCTCGTATAGCATTACCATACAAGCTGGTGAACTTCTGTTCCATCTCTCTTGTCATTCTCCCAAGAGAGCCAGAATACGGTTTACTGTCTGATAGCAGTTGATGATGTTTCATTGAAGATTTGGACGTAATTTGTTGTGTTGCTTCCATATGTGAATATTTGACTCTGATATCTTTTAATCTACTACTCACTCTTTTCTGCACATGATTTATACAATCTTCTTTTATAACGAGATAGTCCACTTCGAAATCTTTACTTTTTGATCTTTTTTCATTATATTCCTTCTTTTCATCTTCTATATCGATTTGCATTTCTAAAACAATAATTTTAAGTGGATTAATGTAGTAATATAAGTACTTAAAAATATGAGTTCATGTCGAACTGTACCTTCGTCTGTATCTTTACTCGTTTGGTGTTCATTCTCGTCTTTATCATCAGTTATCATATATATATATGTTTTACGGCTTCATATGCACTTGAACCACCGTCACATACCATCCATTTATATCGTAATCCTATGTAATAAATATATTAATTATTTTCGAAAAGATGAAAAGATCTGGAGCGAGTATGAGAGTGCGCATTTCATATTACCTTTTTTAATTGATCGTTCGAACAATCGTTTTGTTCCTTCTTTTTCCATACCTTTTGCTGTTCCGTCCCAATTACATTCGCACGAACCTTTATGCTTTGTCAACTGAATGAAGAAAAAACATTAGTCAAGATAGATAATGATAAGAATCACTTATAAGTAATTTTAGAAGAAGTTGTAGTAAAAATTAGCTCACCCATGCACGAAATTCATGAGCTGATCGTTCTCGTTGATTTTTTTCACATTTTTCGAAACGAGTGCTCAATACTTCAAAATCGATTGCTAATCCAGTATCCATTTCAATGATGAATACAATGCCATATTGAGAGACGTGGCCTCTTTTCTTCCACGTCCCTAAAGAGAAAGATTATTTATAAGAGAGAAAATTTGTAGATTTTTCCTAAGTAAAAAGAAATAGAATCTAACCATCAACTGAGATAGCAATATTCACAATACTATCTGAATCATTAGTTTCAACATTATGAAGAGACCGAATTTTTCCGATGACTGAAATAAAGTGTTTATGAATGAATATATTCAAGTTATCGTATCTGAAAACAAAATAATCATGAATTGCATTTATTATCAGAGTGCCATATAAAAAACTTCAACAACTTACGTTTGAAGCACCTGCGGCACAAAATTAGTTTTATTTGGTATTTTCAAACATAATGTAGCCATAACTAAACTAAGATTGTCATACCCTATACCTAAAACGAGGAGAATATCAGAGGACACCCAAAACGTGTCAATTTTAAGATGGAAAATTTCGGATGAGTTTCACAGGATGTACCTGTTAGAGCATTTGCTACATATAAACGTTGATTTGGTTCCTGAATTTTATGTAGCGGCATCGGCTCGAAGTTTGTGAATATTGACACCTTTTCGCAAACTGAACACTTCAGTCCGTTTTCATGGTAAAGCCCTTGTGGCGTATTTATATCAACAATAAATATAAAATGAGCTTCCGAACACAAATGAGCGGCAGCAAGCTGTTCTTGCAGACGATTTATTTCAAATATTTGAGCACTTTTTGGAGACGAAACATATACAGAAGCTCTAAATGATTACACATGAAATTCCTCTTACTCAAGAAATTTAATGCAATGTCGATCACATTTTCTGATAGACAAAATATTTACCTCTTCAATGATTCTGCTATTTTCATTGATGTACGACTTTCCACTGCTCCTTCCGATCTCGTTCGAGAACGAGAACGAGATGTAGAACGTGATTGTGAACCTTGCGCAGATGTATTTGATTCAGAAACAGATAATGTTCGTGATCGTCTTAAAAACAATCTTCTCGAACGACGTCTACCATATCTAGTATTTTTTTTGTATCGATTGATACCCTTGAGTGAACTTTCATCTGATTCAAGATCAGAATACGATTGATAATCGAAGTCAGACATATTAATTATTTCAAGAAAATTAACGTTCTTTAACAAAAAAAACGATATTTCTGAAAGTTTGCGAAAATCGTTAACCTGATTGGTCAAGAAGTGACCAATCAGATTTCGACATGTATAGGTAGCCCTAGGTATTGTCTCTTGAATGGTGAAAACCGCAGGTCTCTACGATATTCCTATCGATAATTATCGAAATAACAGTGAAATGAATTTTTATGCAATGGATGTAGCGTATTCGCAACCGAATTACTGCCGAACGGTAGATGCTAGAGCCTTGAAATTTGGCGATGAGGTACATAGTAGATATCCTCTTGTACATGGAAAGTTTCATTGAAAACTAATCATGCTAAAGCGTATAACTCCATGTTCTCCGATTGCTCTCTTTTCAATGTTTGAAAAGTACCATTTCAGAAAAAGGTTGAAGCCTCAAACTCTTTGAAAACGAATTTTTTTCTGAAATAAAAAAATGTCACCCCATAGAGAAGAATCTAGTGAACAAGTTTGCAAAGACGAAACTATTTTATAAAGCTTTATACGAGTAGGGGACTCGGTAAGAATTACTTTTTCCGCTGACATCAAAATAGCTGGAAAAATCGATTTTTTCAAATTTTGAAATTTTTATAACTCTACCAAACAACGTCCAACCCGCGAAATATTTTAACCCTAGACCCTTGGAGTACAACTCTACAAACTGACAAATTTTGGGGCAAATCGGGATGGGGGTACCCCCCCCCCTTAAAATGAAATTCATGTATTTGACAGACATTATGCATTGAGTAAAGTGAGGAGTAGAAAAGATCACGATTAATTTTAATGAATTACAAATGAATTACATTGTTAATACTGTTTTTTTGGAATTCGAAGTCTATTAAAGATTATACCACATCAGCTGTTTCTTTTTGTAAAATATAGCTTAAAATCAATCTAAATCTCAATGCAGTTGAAAATCCATCTTCATACG